GGGGGTTTGGGGTGAGGGGACGGGGAAGTGTGACCGGTGTGTAAGGGTTTTTGGGGTGCAAAGGGRAAAGTGTGKGAGAAATCGGGGTGCAGAGAGGTGTGCCGGGTGTGCAAGGGGGTGGTGGGTGCAAAGGGGAAAGTGTGCGAGCAGTTGTGGGGTGCAAGAAGTGCTGAAAGTCCCAGGGGTGTAAGGAATGTGTGAGGGTTTTCAGGGTGCAAAGGAAGGAAGTGTGCAAGAAATCAGGGTGCGAGTGTGCAAGGGGCTGTTTGGGTTCAAAGAGGAAAGTGTGTGAAGAATTGTGGGGAGCAGGAAGTGCTGGAGGTCCCGGGGTGTTTGGGGAGTGTAAGGGTTTTTGGGGTGCAAAGGGGAAAGTGTGTGAGTAGTAGTAGGGGAGCAGGACGTGCTGGGGGTTCCAGGGATGGTTGGGGTGTAAGGGGTGTGTGAGGGTTTTTAGGGTGTAAAGGAAGGAAGTGTGTGAGAAATCGGTGTGCAAAGGGGAGGAGGTGTGACGGGTGTGCAAGGGGCTGTTTGGGGTGCAAAGGGGAAAGTGTGTGAGAATTGTGGGGTGCAAGAAGTGCTGGAGGTCCCAGGGATGTAAGGGATGTGTAAGAGATTTTAGGGTGCAAAGGAAGGAAGTGTGTGAGAAATCGGTGTGCAAAGGACGGGGAGGTGTGATGGGTGTGCAAGGGGATGGTGGGTGCAAAGGGGAAAGTGTGCGAAGAATTCTGGGGTGCAAGAAATGCTGGGTGTTCTAGGGTTGTTTGGGGTGTAAGGGATGTGTAAGGGTTTTTAGGGTGTAAAGGAAGGAAGTGTGTAAGAAATTTGGGTGCAAGGACGGGGAGGTGTGATGGGTGTGCAAGGGGCTCCTGGGTGCAAAGGGGAAAGTGTGCGAAGAATTCTGGGGTGCAAGAAATGCTGGAGGTCCCAGGGCTGTAAGGGATGTGTAAGAGATTTTGGGGTGCAAAGGAAGGAAGTGTGTGAGAAGTTTAGGGTGCAAAGAGAGGGAGTGTTTAAGGCTCTGGTGGGGTGCAAAGGGGAAAAGTGTGCGAAGAATTGTGGGGTGCAGGAAGTGCTGGAGGTTCCAAGAGTGGTTGGGGTGTAAGGGATGTGTAAGGGTGCAAAGGAAGGAACTGTGTGAGAAATCGGGGTGCAAAGAGGGGGAGGTGTGACGGGTGTGCAAGGGGGTGGTGGAGTGCAAAGGGGAAAGTGTGTGAGAATTGTGGGGTGCAAGAAATGCTGGAGGTCCCAGGGGTGTTTGGGGTGTAAGGGATGTATAAGAGTTTTTGGGGTGCAAAGGAAGGAAGTGTGTGAGAAATCGGGGTGTGAGTGTGCAAGGGGCTGTTTGGGTTCCAAAGGGGAAAGTGTGTGAAGAATTGTGGAGTGCAAAGGGGAAAGTGTGCGAGCAGTTGTGGGGTACAAGAAGTGCTGAGGTCCCAGGGGTGTAAGGGATGTGTGAGGGATTTTGGGGTGCAAAGGGGGAAAGTGTGCGAGCAATTTTAGTGTGCAAGAAGTGCTGGGTGTCCCAGGGGTGTTTGGGGTGTGTAAGAGTTTTTGGGGTGCACAGGAAGGAAATTTTCCATAAATCGGGGTGCGAGGAGGGGGAGGTGTGACGGGTGTGCAAGGGGCTGTTTGGGTGCAAAGTGTGCGAAGAATTGTGGGGTTCAAGAAGTCCTGGAAGTCCCAGGGGTGTAAGGGATGTGTGAGAGTTTTTGGGATGCAAAGGACGGGATTTTGCCATAAATTGGGGTGCTCAGAGTGCAGTTGGGGTGCAAAGAGAAATTTGGGAACGCATCGGGAATTTTGCGCTGCGCTCCGGCAAAGCGCGCGGGAAGGAAGAGTCGGGATGATGCACACGCGGGAATTGCAGGTGAAATGATTCCAAAGTTTAAAATGTAAAATATTCCTGATATTCCCAGGTTTAAAAGTAAAATATTCCCGATATTCCCAGATTTAAAAGTATAATGTTCCCGATATTCCTAGGTTTAAACGTAAAATATTCCCGATATTCCCAGGTTTAAATGTAAAACATTCCCAATATTCCTAGGTTTAAAATATTCCTGATATTTTTAGGTTTAAAAGTAAAATATTCCCGATATTCCCGGGTTTAAAAGTAATATATTCCTGATGTTTTTCCCAGAATTCGTCCTGGGGTGTCCTCAGGATGGGTGGGTGGCTTTTTGGGGGTCAGGCTGATTTTGGGAGCTGCTGATCTCACCCAGACTCAGAAAAAAATTCCCAATGTTTCCAGAATTATGGGAAAGGGTTTTTCCTCCCTCTGCCTTGGCGGTTTGCTGCTGTGGGGCCTTAAATAAAAAATAAAAAAATAAAATAAATAAAGGGGAAAAGCTGGGAAAAGCCCAACTCTCTCAATCCAATCCTGTGCGGGTGAATCACGAGATGTTGCAATCCCTCCTTTATTTCAGAGTTCCCTGAAAAAGTAGAAAAAAGAGAGAAGAGGAAATGCCTCTGCTTTGAGAAACTGCA